ATAAACATCCACCATTTTGCATTTGCAGCTCAAAGTGCTTACAAAGCGTAATAATTAATTAAATCGCTTTGTATTTTCTCTGATAACAGTTAATCAAACCATTCAGTCATCTGTCTGATGTCATCCTGGTCTCACGACCATCACCTAACCGTTATGATGATTTGAAAATGTTATAGCCGCCTTCACTGCTTATTCATGGGGGCATGAAACTTCTTCAACACTGGTCTATGAAGTTTTCCCTCACCTTTAGGCTGATCTAAAAATTGGGAAGGCGCTTGACGTGGGTGAACTAGGCCACTTCGACTTTCTGCCTTCGACGTACTCCCTTACACGAAAAGCTGGAAGAAAATTCTTTCTTCCAAGATCTGGATCATCCCAAATGAACTTCAATTTGTAAAGTGGAATGGGACATTGGAATTTTGAGTGCCATTCTGTAATACTACTTCATTTTTGTCATACCTTGACAAGTATGGCAAATGGTGCGCTTATGACTCCGAACGGACCATCAGTCAAATACTTCTCACCTTCAGTAATTTTTACATCCAGCAAACTACGATACAGTATAAACACTTGGTTATTTTTCATGAATGGAAAGAAAAAATTTCATAGAAGGAATTGTCAGGAATTGTTTTCTAGTGCGGGAGATTGCCTAAAAGCCTAGGACTACGATTTTTGATTTTTCGATTCATAAGTCCTTTCTAGATTGATCAGCGATATTGAAAACGCCATTTTTGTTGACGCAGACGTCAAGATGTATAGATGCAGAAGAATTGGCCTTAATCGATCTTTTCTTTGAGTAAAAAAAGTAAAAATAGCCCTACAAGTTATAATGTCAAAAATCAAATCGTACAAGTAGTTATTACTGCTTCGTGGTAAGGGTGGCGACTGACGTTCGGAAAGAAATCGTTCTTAGTTCCTTGTCTTATACAGTTGTTTCACCAAAGAACGTTCCATTCAGGACACTCAGTAGTCACCCTTATAGCAGAGATGTTGTTCTTAACAAAAATTCAACCAAGTCCTAAAAGGTAAAGGAATATATGAGTGATTTTTGGCTATTCACGAATTATGTTAGGCTGATGCGAATGTCTTTGGACGTCAATTCACAGTATCATAATTTTATTACATAAAGCTCAGTCGCTGCGATGCTGACACCGTTTTGGAACAATCTCAGATTTACCACCAGTGATGCTCAAATGTGCTAGCTTTGCCAAAGGGGGTGAAGGATGAAGTCTTTTGGGGTATATCATCCCTTCTTAGGGAGCCCTGGATTCGACTTCCATCTTTCATCCCCCCTTACGAGTTTGGTACCAGTTAACCGACCCCGGAGAGATGGAAGGGCTGGTTGGCTCGGGCGGATATCGAGCCGAGGTTTGAGTCCGTGACCATGCGTGCGGGATTGTGCGCTTGCCACTACACCGTCTCCGCCCTAATTTTGCCATCTTTATTGGTTCGATGAAATGGAATAAATCCAGTCGAGAGTGTTTTCAAAAATCTTGTTATGCAATCCTACGTTGCTAGAAAATAATAAAAAATAAATCAGTTCATACTTTTTCCTCTCTGCTAGTAACATCTGTTGCCGATGTATGCTTAGAGGCGGATTTCGTGAAAATTCGTCGCCATCTGAATCCATTTTACTGAATTCTTGGCTCTTTACGAAGCTGTATTCGCTCCTGCCCCGGTTGATCCGAGAAAAAGCAAAAACCCAGATAGACTTCTCTCGAGAGCTTTTGTGATTTTAATGAGACTCGGATAAATTTGGCCACCCTATTACAACAGCTGAATAATTCTCAGGAACTTGGTTATATATCGCTAGAGTTCGCTGCCATGTTGCATGCATGGCGAGAATTGATCGGCACATGAGGATCTTCACTCTTGTTGTTTTTATTCTGAATAATGTGCTAGCTCTACTGATGGACTGGTTATTTCAGCGGGCGATTGGCTTCAAGGACCCCATGTCTACGCTTTGTACCAGTCCTATGGAATGTCCAAACATCAGATCGAGCTGCTCTTCATTGCCGGTTTCGGATCGAGTCTGCTGTTTGGAACTGTGATAGGATCGTTTGCCGATAAGTTGTAAGTGAGTACCAGCTCTTCTGTACCCCGAAAAGCATTACAGTACCCCATGAATATTTCAGTGGCCGTCGAAATAACTGCATAATCTATGGAATACTGTATGGATGCTCTTGCATTACTAAGCACTTTCCCAGTATGGAAGTTCTAATGGTGGGCCGATTTCTGGGTGGGATTGCCACCAGCATATTGTACTCGGCGTTCGAGAGTTGGATGGTCTACGAGCATAATAAGGTGATAGAGAATCAGTTGATCAGAATATCCAATTTAAGATTCTCGTCTTTTTCAGTGGGGTTTTCCTGAAAACCTCTTGGGTACGGTATTCTCCCATGCTGCACTGGGAAACTCGCTAGTTGCCATTCTGTCAGGTGTAGCTGCCCAGTTTGCAGCCGATGCCTTTGGATACGTGTGAGTTCCTTTCTGAGATCTTTCCTATTCCTAT